AAAACATCAAAATACTGTGTTTCAGAATATAAAACGTGTTCTCAGAGCTCTTCAGAATATTTATTGACAATGTTCATTACATTTTTCATTTTTCCTTGAGAAAATTTTACTTTGGAGCAATTAATATCCTTAATGTTCTATCATCTATTTTAAAATTGTAAAGCAAAAAAACAGAAGACCAGATATTATCACTTGTTTTCTGAGAGTTGTGGAAGTTTGACATGTTTTCCAGGTAATCAAAAGTAGGGCATGAGGGCCACACTTAAATCCCTTTATTAATTAATATTTGATCTTTACAATCCTGTCAACAGTTAACACATATCTTCTTTGAACTTCAGTCTCAGTGTATCTTTCCATATGCCTGTGGAAATTTGTAGAAATACTGAATAATGAACAGAAATATAGTTCATAATTTTTGAAATGTATCATTCTATCTAAATGTCCCATTGTGCATAAGATGATGAATCAATTTATGCTTCATATTTATACTAATTCTATTTTGGAATAACAGTAAAGAGTAATTGTACAACTTAAAGTTCTTCTTTATTCTTTTAAGTGCTTTTAAATACACATATATTCTAAGATCTCCAGAGATGAATATTAGGCAGGAATTTCTGATTTCTTTCAATATCTCTGTCACTGACAAAAGTAGGTGCAATAACTCCAAGGGAAAATAACATTTACATAAAACTTAGTTAATTAGCCATGGTTCAGTCAAAAGCTTCCTGTGGTGGTAGTGTTTGGGTCTACGAGTCATGGAGACATATCATGACTTATTTCTTGGGTAGGAATACATGAGCTACAGGCATAGAGGGATATACACTTAAAATAGTGAAATATTGCATATTCCTTCATTTTCTTGCCCCCTTCTTCTTCTTCCTCTCTCTCTCCCTCTCTCTCTCTCTCTCTCTCTCTCTCTCTCTCCTTTTTTCATTAATGATGGAAACTGAATTCAGGCATTAGGTATAATAAACAAGCACTTGTTCACTGAACTGTCTGAATCTTAGTCCTAGAACACTGATGTTTCCTGCTTACCTTTAAAACTGTAGTCTCTATATCAATGAACAGCATACAGTAGGCATCCAAGAAATGTTAGAAAGAATGAATAAATGCCCATCACCTCATCCAATTCAGCCACGCTGTAAGATAGGTACTGTTGTCATTCTCAGTGAAGATGGGAGAACTAAAGCTTTAGGGGTTTTGATGCATTTTCAGGGGTTAAGCAGCCACTAAGTCACAGAACCTGGATTCTTAGCCATTTTACATATAACTTCAAGGAAAAAAAATGTTAATTACAATTAATACCTGGTATTACAACAAAACACACAATAAAAATTTTCCTGCAGGAGAAGAGGAAAATTCCTGCTGTACCAAATGGAACAGCAGCTCATGGGGAAGCTGAGCCACATGGAGGACATAGTGGACCTGAACTCCAGCGAACTGGAAGGTTAGTGAAAACTACTTGTATAGGACTTGAAAGATAAAATGGTATGTCATTCTTATCTTAAGGAACTGCTATTTAGTGATCTAATTTATTTTATATGTTTAATAACTACTCTTTGTGAGCGAAATGCCAATTAATTTTATTTCTCTGAAGTTAGTAATGACTGTCATTACTATTAAAACAGTGGATACACCATTTCATTTTATCTTAGTCTTTCATTTCACTGTGCATAAAATACATTCACAGTGTCTTAGAACAAATAAGAAAACTGTCAGTTGACTTGCAAAACAGCTTGTTGAAAGCTTCAGGTTCAAGACAGAAATAAAACTAAATACCAGGAATTAAGTCTTATAGACCTTATCTCATAAATGCAAGTAGGATGTATATAATGGTATTTTTATTATTATGCCTGTGATTTGAAAGAAGTATATGATTTATTTTTCTAATCACACATCTTTGAAGAGATGAAAGCTTCAATTTATTTCATAAAATGTTTTTATGGGTTTCTGACAGTTTGTCTCTCTACAAGCAATGTGTGAGGAGAAAATCAGAAACCCTTGGGTGGATCTCTCTTTAGGGAATTTGTATGTACAGCCTCATTATAATTAAAGACAATTGCCAAGACTTTGCCTCTCCCCTCAGAGCCATTTCCTGTACCTCTGGCAATATGCCCTCTAAGCTGACTTTCCAGTTCCTGGAGTGCTACATTTGAATTTTTCCTGTGTGGTTTTTGTTTTTGCTTTTGTTTTTTTCCTTTATCTATATGTCTCTGAGGAAATGTCCTTTAACATCTTCCCCTGGTATGATACTAATTTTAGATGGTTCAAGTTTTTCCTTCGGCATTCACTGGAAGCCTTATGACTCATTCTGTTTACGGTCATACTTTCAAATGCAATCTTTTCATTTTTGGTGGTATTGTTTTCCTTTCTCTCTCAGGTGTAAACATGCCACATAGCTTAGATTTTTTTCAAGTTCACATTTCCTTACTGCTTCCTAAATCCTCCCAGGTCACCAATATCCGGTATCTTCGCTTCTCCAGAGTTCTTCCACAGATTCTGTTGCTGACATGACTTGAAGTACCCATTACTCATCCGCTCTCCAGGAGTTGCTGGTGCACATCTGGGCTGCTCTTGCACTGTTCTGTAATGAACTCCCACTTCTGGATTTAGATTTTTACTGATAAAGCACTTTTGTTACACAGTTATATAACAACTATCTAGACTAATGTATGTTCTAATAAGTGATTAGAAAGCAGTAGTATAAAATAAAATGCTAACAAAATTTTAAAGATTAATTACTAAATGATAGTTCATAACCACTTCAATTTATTCTTACACCTAGGTAGGATATAAGTCATAAATGAATGCATATGCTAGTAGAATAAAGTATTTTAATTGTGACTTTGACAAGGTGACTTATTATTCAGAAATAAAAAGCATTCAACATTAAAAATATGCATATGTTTTGACAAACACAGGAAGAGGGGTGCAAGCTGAGATTTATGTATGTAAAAATTATATGTGTTCTCTGGAAATTTCTCCTGAGTTTCAAATATTTATTTTTCTTGTTTGTTTTTTCAACCCTTCCTGGTAGAAGCAATTACTAGGCAAATGGTGTTCTATACTAACATAATAGTCAGATAGTTACTAATAGGTAATTCTTATGTCTCCATCTAACTGGGGGTACTAAAAATAGCAGTGAAGGGCAGGACAGATGGTTGAGTGGGTAAGGGTCCTTGCCACCAAACCTAACCACCTGAGTTCCATCCCCAGAGTCCACATGGTAAAGGAGAGAGCCCACATCCACAAGTTATCCTGACCTGACCTGACTAGTGAGCTGTGACTTGTGGATCTTCCTTCCACAAGACCAACTGATATATACATATATATATATATATATATATATATATATATATATATATATATGTGTGTGTGTGTGTGTATCTTTTTGAGACAGGGTCTCCCTGTAACCCCAGCTGGCCTGGAGCTCACTATGTAGACCAGGTTGGTCTTAAAATCACAGTGATCTGCCTGCCTCTGCCTCCCAAGTGCTGGGATTCAAGGCATGTGCCACCATGCCCAGCATTTTTCCTATGTATATTTTCAAGGCCAGTTTGAATTTAGTTCTTAAGGGACAGATTGTTTTGGAGACTAAGATTCCCAAATAAATACCCCTATTCATAAAAAATAACAAAAGTTTAATATTTTTATATGATTCATGAATATTCAAAATGGTAGCAGAACTTTGGAACATTGTAGGTTTTGTTTTTGTTTTATGTGTTTGTTTTGCTTTTATCAAATAAGGTCTTGCTATATAGCTCAGGTTGTCCACAAACCCACAATCTTTCTGTTTCCTGCCTCTGGAGTGCAGGGATTATTGGCATGTTCCATCATGTCCAACTTAAAAAAAATCATTAATTTCCATGTAGTAACTTTATTGTAGTCTTTAAGATCACATCTTTCTTACTTTCAGAAAAAAGAACTTTCAATGTCAAACGCTAAATCTGAACATTTTCAGATGTTTAAATAATGAGAATACCTGTTTTTTCATGTTCTCATTCCTAATAGGTTGAAAACTTTTGTCCTCAAATTTTAACAACCGTGTCACAATTTAATGCTCCTGGACCAAAGAAAAAATTTCTTCTAAGCATTCAGTGTGTTTATTTTTCAGATTTCAAATAAGTGAATTATTTCAAGAAAAGTCATTAATATCTTGTGTTACAATGTGTATAGGCAATACTAGATCAAAATAACATTTATATAGTTTGGTTATTATTGGGTTAGCCTCTTAGCATCCTAAGAATAAAAACAACCTTCGAGCCTATCTGTCCCTGATATAGCTGTTATTCATATAGCCATTTAGATGTCTTGTTGAAACAATATATTTTGAGGGACTTTTATTTTTTCAGGACTAGGTAACTGGAGCCTTTATTAGACACTGCTTTATTTTCCCTAGGATGATGTTTACTTTGGGCATGCACACAAGTCAGTTATCTCTCCATCCCTTACTTTCTGCTCTGCTAGAGATGCAAACAATTGGAAAATACTTCCAAGATTAAGAATGGTAGGCCCGAGTTAGATGTAAGTTAATAAAGAAATGGCACAGAGACCCGAGTACTCCATGAATCACGTTATTTGAAATTTGATTGATAACCACCTCTGAATCTTATTTGAGAAAACCTGAGATTCTTGTTGGCACAATATTTGGGATATCAGAGTGGCTTAAAGCTGTTCTTGTAGATCATAATATTGAAACATGGCAGGTTAATATGGGTCTCACTTCTGCTGATGGAAAACATTACTGTGACCTGGTAACAGAGAAAATGAGCATTTTGACTTATGTGGGATTTTTTTTTAATCTTTGAGTTTCACTATTGTTGTATTTCCCCCTGTGTTTTAGGATTTTTGGGGGACTTATATTAGATATCAAAAGAAAAGCTCCATTCTTCTGGAGTGACTTTAGAGATGCCTTCAGCCTGCAATGCTTAGCATCTTTCCTGTTTCTCTACTGTGCCTGTATGTCTCCTGTCATCACATTTGGAGGACTACTGGGAGAAGCAACTGAAGGGCGTATAGTACGTATTATATTTTTTCACTGAAGTTTTGAAACTTAATCTAGTTTTAAGATTTATAGGTATAAAAATGAGAATTTCATTTTGGATTGTGTTATGAAGAGAGATTAATACATGGTCCAGCAGATAAACTTCCTGTGAATTTCCTAGAGGCCAGGTAGAACTGACAAGCTGAGAATGGAATGTCTCAGAAATATTCATTCCGAGTCTTATACAAAGCTGTGGCTTGATACCTTACCCCTTGATTTTTCAGGTTTTAAATAAGTGAATTATTTCAAGAAAAGTCATTAATATCTTGTGTTACAATGTGTATAGGCAATACTAGATCAAAGTAACATTTATATTGTTTGATTATTATTGGGTTAGCCTCTTAGCTTCCTAGTAATAAAAACAACCTTGGAGCCTATCTGTCCCTGATATTGCTGTTATTCATATAGCCATTTAAATGTCTTGTTGAAACAATATGTATTAAGGGCTTTTTTTTTTTTTTAGAAGGACTAGGTAACTGGAGCCTTTGTTAGACCCTGTTTTATTTTCTCTAGGATGATGTTCCCTTTGGGCATGCACACAAGCCAGTTATCTAGGTCAATTTTACATTCAGTCCATTTCTCATGTATTAGAACCATGTTTTTGTCCAGATGCTAATTCTGAACATATTTAAACATTTTGTAAATCAACAGAAAAGTGAGGCAGAAAATGAAGAAGATGATTCCTATTTACCGTCCTTAATTTTCTGCTCTTGTTGGCCATTTTCCCATCCTTGTTTCTCATGTCCTGCCCAGGATTACTAGGTATGATACAGGAAAGAGAATAAAAGAAAACAGAACAACTGACTAGGGTATTTTAAATGTTTCTACTTATTACAGAAATGGCTATCTAGAGAGCTTAGGTAATGGATCCATTCATATCTTTTCACAGAGTGCAATCGAATCCCTCTTTGGAGCATCCATGACAGGGATAGCCTATTCTCTTTTTGGTGGACAGCCCCTTACCATATTAGGCAGCACAGGACCTGTTTTGGTGTTTGAAAAGATTTTGTTTAAGTTTTGCAAGTAAGTATTATTATTCTTAGCTGTTATCCCTTCTCTCACTACCGTTTTATTCTTTCAGTATCACTTTTGAAGATCTGTGGGGAGAGGTGAAATTCACTGATTTGATTCAGTTTTTTATTATTTTTCCCTTAACGGAAATGAAGGAAAAGGTCAAAGATTGTACATATTTTATGTAATATTTATAACAAACAAAATTCAGTTCGAAGACGAGTTTATAAACTCATGGGATATGAAGTTATTGGCTTTCACTTCCTGAATTAGACGTATTTCCACTCATTTAAATGGTAGCAAGCTGTACAGTGACTGTCTTCCCATACTTTCTTTTCTCTCCCAGAGAATATGGGCTGTCATACCTGTCTCTACGAGCTAGTATTGGACTGTGGACAGCAACGCTATGCATCATACTTGTGGCCACTGATGCAAGTTCCCTTGTCTGCTATATCACCCGGTTTACTGAAGAAGCTTTTGCTTCTCTTATTTGCATCATTTTCATTTATGAAGCCCTAGAGAAACTGTTTGAACTCAGTGAAGCATATCCAATCAATATGCATAATGATTTGGAACTGCTGACACAATACTCGTAAGTACTATTTCTTCTCTTGGCTTTGGAGCTTTTCTTTTTACAACTATTGCTATTGTTATAAGAAATACGAACACCTTACTCTGTGAAGAGTGGGCCTTAAGTTGATTCCTGACCTTCATTCTGGATTTTTAGAGCTGAATAGGAGTTTAAAAGCCATCTAATCAGCCACACATCTGATTCTTGGGTTCTCATTACAGCATCTCTGCCAAGAATATCTTTCTAAAGCTCTATTTGTCAAGTGTTCCATAAAATAAATTCCCAATTAAGTAAGTAAATTTCAACATAGATTGATTTTTGCTTTTATAAAATATGTCATTTTGGTCTTCTTTTAAGCTCCTTATAACCCAGGAAGTATAGATATTAAAATATGAGATTTCATATTTAAAGGAGTGGGAAAAAGAAGCTCACTGAATCTAAGCTATATTCAGTTGGTATTTGAAAGTGTGACAAAGCATAGATGGAAAATCAACAAGTTTAAGTTTAATTTTGCTTTTGGATGTTTGTAATAAGAATATTTAGGTATGGACTGCTGAAGGAGATATTCCAGTTCAAGATTGAAGACGAGACTGGATCTTTTGATTTTCTAGATTTTGTGTGCCATCAGTAGCAGATTTATCTAACGCTGTATCTGTAGTGTATATATGGTCATGGAATTATGATTTTACTTAATTTCAGAAATTTTTGGTTGCATTTACAGATAGAAGTTCAAATATTTCATCCATATGCTCTTCACAAGACAATAATAATCTCTATTCCAACTACCAGTGTTTTTCCTATACATTGCTTAGATGTGGCCACAAAAATTTTAAATCTTTCTTTATTACTAGAAATTCAATGTCAAAATTACATTAAAGTGTTCCTTATAATCTTTAAGAGTGATATAATGATACAATGTTGAAAGCAATGTGATTCTTAGTAGTTAAATTTTATTTTGACCTCTAGAGAAAACTTAATACAAAGTACTCCTATTTGAGGGCAAGAAAATTCAAAGTTTAAATGTAAAATAACTTTCCCAAGTGTGTGTAGGTCATTTAGGTGTCAAAAAAAAAAAAAAAAAAAAAAAAAAAAGGGAAAGGCCTGGGGACTGGGGTGGCAGGGAGCTGCGTTTACAGGGATCAGGAGATTTCTGGTAAGAAAGAATTATGCATGTTTGAAATGAGGAAATCAAAAAAGAGAGAATCAAGTCACAGAGATGTGGGAGAGTCTAAGGCCATACCCTCTGAATGTGTCCAGTCTTGTCAGACCTTGAAAGCTAAGCATGGTCCAGGTCCAGCCTGGTTAATACTTGGATGGGAGCTCTGGAAGACAAGATGAATAAACATGAGGTTAGAGCCTTCAAGGAGTCAAAATGATGAAACAATAGGGTTAAATAAGACCAATGCCAAGAGGCTAGTCTGAGAGTAAGGAGCTTAGTATGTCATGATCCCCGATATCATGATGACCACAAGGAGTGGCCAAGGTTCTGATTTCTCCATGTTTCCATCCTTGTTCTTAAAAGTGAATCATTTTGGGGCTGGAGAGATGGCTCAGCAGTTAAGAGCACTGACTGCTCTTGCGGAAGACCCAGGTCGATTCCCAGCACCCACATGGAGGCTACGAACCATCCTTAACTCCAGTTCCAGGAAAATCTGAAGCCCTCTTCTGACCTCCACGGCATTGCATGACATGGGTGCACTCACATACATGCAGACAATACACTTAGATACGTAAAATAAAAATAATAAAATACTAAAAATAAAAGTGAAGCCTTTTTAAAAATTTTTTATTTATTATTTTTATGTTATGTGTCTGAGTGTATTGCCTGCATGTGTGTGAGTGCACCTGGACCGTGTAACACCATGGAGGTCAGAAGAGGGCGTCAGATTCCCCTGGAACTGGAGTTAAGGACGGTTCGTAGCCTCCATGTGGGTGCTGGGAATCAAACCTGGGTCCCTTGCAAGAGCAGTCAGTGCTCTTAAACATTGAGCCATCTCTCCAGCTCCCAAAATGAATCATTTCAAAAAAATGTTTTCATTAGCCTATAAACAATTAGCCTATAAACCACAGCATTTCATACATGATTTTTGTTGTTCTCCCCACTCTTCTCCACCACCCCTGTGCTCCTGTGCTCTTCTACCCAAGTAACCTCCTTTCCTCTTTCATGTCCATTCCCCACTCCATTAACACCTCTGCTTCCCCCCTCCCTTGGTCCCCTTTCTAGTTATATAGCCCCCCTCCCAAGCTAGGTTCTCCATACAGGTGAGAACATAAAAAGGGGTCTTCACAGTCCAAGTTGTTCTTGGAGCAGTGCAGGCTTCCGAAACTCTGAAACCTCATGTGAATACTGACCATGAATGTGTGCTGACCTCTGTCCCATTGTCCACATGCCCCCCTTTGCTAAAGTTGGGGAGATAGGAGAAGCAGAAAGGCTGCCTCAACATGATGGACAATGAAATTTTAGTGTTCTTTGGCTCCTGAAATGAGCATAACAGAAGCTGAATGGCAGTCTTCCAGGGACATAGAGTGCTGACCAGATGCCATGACTGCTCTATCTCCTTTTTTTGGTTTTTACATTATTATTGTCTGGTATATGTATCCCAATTTGAACATGCCTGCCCATTGAATGGCTCTAAATTCTACCATTGAGAATTTACTTTATGAATTGAACAGGTTTCTATAGGTATGCAAGCATTTTGTCAAGTATTGTCATTACTTGTTTCTTAGGGAAGCAAAATCAATCTTTTTTTTTTCTTGTTATATATAGTGTGCGTTTAGTTATGGGCATTAAATAAACTAAGTAAGTTACAGCTAAGTGCAGCTTTTTTTGTATTAATGTTTTATATACTCTCTCTGTTTCATGAAGTCCATATGACATTGTGATGATTTTCTTAGTCTTATCACTGTGGCCATTTCATATGCGTTAGTGTTAAAGGGTTATGATATTGATTCCCACCTATAGTTTCCTGCTTTAGATGTTGGCTTCATGCTTTCTCAGGTTTCAATGTAAAAGTTCCTATAAAATATTATAGCTTGGACATACTATGTCTAAGATTTTGCAAACTGATGTTCCTGTGCATGTCATAATGTGCCATATGTTATATTCATGTAGAAGATATGGGGTAAAACCATGCATTCTTACGTTCTACATTTCAAATATATTTTGTATTGGGGCCTTCCATATTCAGATTTCCAATCCCAAATAACAAAATGTCTTTATTTTAGAAAAACAACAAGAACAACAAAAGTTTCCTAGCTCTTCTGTCCTCTTAACCTCACAAAGTGGTAATGTGTAAACTTCACATTTGAAAACACACTTTCCTTTTATTGTGCTAAGGGCAAATGCCAAGAACCTGTTTAGTTTTGAGCATCTATTACACGGGAAGATCAAATTGAATATGTCAAATTAGCAGTAAGTAATGAGTTTGAGGGGATAATAATTCCTGCTTGCTTTGATTTTAAGGAATGATGAAAGTAGAATATTTTGTGATAGTTATATAACATGGAATATGTCTTTAGTATATAATGGAGTTCTAAAGGATGGCTACTTAAAGAATGATTAAGAATGCAGAAATACATGTGATAAGAAAGCAGAAGGTGGGTGATCTTGGAAGAAAGTTGGAAACTAGCTAGATGGGGCCAATGGGCAAAGGGGAAGGCAGTGGGGGAGAGAAATAAATGAGAGCAAAATATAATTACATGAACTTATGAAAATACTATAGTCAATCCCATTACTTTGTATGATAACCAAAACCTAGTTTAAATGAGCTATCAGTAAATCCATCACTTAATAAAGGATGAATGAATGCCTTGCAAATGCTTGGGTTAAAGCAAAGTACAAAGTCTATTACTCTAGTTTTTCTTGTATATATAGAGTAGAGTTAGAAAGGTGGGGGTGAAGATGGGGAAGGGGTGTGAATATGATCAAAATATATAAAAATTTCAAAAAGGCAATAAAATAAAAAAGATCCTTCTAAGCTGCTAAAGAAGGGATCTTGCTATTAAGTGATAAGAAATATTTTTGGTTTTGATTTTGCCGTCTCATTTTTGTTTACTACAATTCTTTCTCTAGTCTCTTACATATAACCAAAGATAGTGTTTAAAAAATTTTTAATATTACTGACTGATATTATACTCAGTGTCTTCATTAATCAACTAGATTTGAGTCTTCTTTAAATTTTAAAAAGTAAAGTAACAATCTTATCCCTTATAATCTTAGTATAATGTTATGAATATGGTTAAGTCATAGTTAGTGCACCTTGATTAATTGAACATGTTGCAAAATAATTGTTATCCCCTTACCAAATTTATTTGACAAGTAAAGAAAATTAGCTTGATTCCATTATTTTTAGACTTGCTTTTAAAGATTTAATCCACAAATTTTGAATAAATGTGACACACTATAATAATCTTAATACATATAGAAGAGTTAAAATCTGGATTCAAAACTTTGTTCTGATTGAAAAATTAGCCAAAATGTTGACATGGTGGAAAATCATGTGGACATGCATGAAGTAGGATGTCAGCTTACAGAAGAAATCTAGATATTGATCAGAAATGCAGGGAAAAAGACAATGAAGGATGCTTTCATAGTTCATTCATCAATTAGAACTTATTAACCATAAAATAAGGAGGAAAACAGATTAGAGAAACTGCATTATTACTTTTATGATCACTTTTTTCTATATACCATTCAACAAATTTATCCAGAATTAATATTTTCATGTGTTTCTTTGAGTAATCTCTGTGTGCTTCCACCAGATTAATCTCCACAATAGCAGGGCCAGGTTGGACTTTTGTATCTACTGTCTCTATGAAGTGCTTGGCAAATATCATGTCAATTGTTCATATTTTTATGTTCATTCCTTTTTTTTTTGAGAATTAGGTGCATGTATACAATGAAGTATGATCATACCCTCTCCCTCTCCCCTCCAACTCCCCATATCCCTCCAACAGCTTCCCCTCCAGACACCATGTCCTCTTTTTTAATAGCCCACTAACTCCAAATAGTGTTGTTTCTT